TACATGAGCAAAAATTGTCAATGGAATTTTTAATACTGACCCACAATCCCCCTTGCTACCATTAAACTCTGATGGTATAGGAGCTAAAGAAACTTTCATTCCATTCCTTGAAATTTTGATAATTTGAGTCTATAAGAAATAGATTAATAGGAGAAAAGGCATCCAAATTCATTAACATGCAAGTGCATGGTAGTCACGTGAAGTATGAAATTCAGAGAAGGGCCGGATGGTTGAAGCCTAAATATCCTCTAATAGGGGACAAGGAAGGAGGATGTAGGCAATTTTAGAGGAAGAGTAAATGATTTTTAGGAAGATAAATGGATCCAAAAAACAGATAATAGCTAGGAACAAAGTTTGCCTGGGCTTTGGGTGGGTATCACCTCTAGTCTTCCTTTCTGCAGTGTGCATCAGTTTGCCCCGGTTGGGGAGGGGATTCGCAAGCAAATGTCTCCTGGAGGATCCTGCCTTCAGGTAGAGAGGGGAACTCAAGAGAAAACCTTTCTCTGCATTTGCTGCTCCCCAAGTTCTCTCAAGTTGAAGTCCAAAGAGGCTACTTTCTGAGCTCCAACAGTGGGCACCTTCTATGTTGGTGTCTGCAAAGCTTACATTTGTTTTAAATATTATTGAGAGTTTTATGATTACAAAATAGTATTTTTTTTAAGGAAATTTGGAAGGTAGTGACAACTAGAACTATTAAAGGTGAGTGTGGCACCTCCACTTGCATATCTCTGTATCACTCTCAAATATTTCAGTTTCATTCTAGCTAATTTCTTCATATAATCCTTCCTAGTCATTTAGTCACTCGGTAATTATGATGAATCTCCTGGGAAATCTATTTATTGAGTTTGTAATAGTAATTATTACAGTTTCTACTTGTCGTTATGTTTGATTCTGTTCCAAAATTTCTTGCTCAGATCTTCAAGTTTATCTTTTACTTCTTTAAGCATCTTAAACCTAGTTATTTTGTGATCTATGTCTGATAATTCTAATATCTGAGGTCTTTTTTTTTAAGAGACAGAATCTTACTTTGTCACCCTTGGTAGAGTGCTGTGGTGTCGCTTGCCTTAGCCTCCCAAGTAGCTGGGACTACAGGCCCCTGCCACAACACCTGGCTATTTTTTGTTGCAGTTTGGCCGGGGCTGGGTTTGAACCCTCCACCCTTGGTATATGGGGCCGGTGCCCTACTCACTGAGCCATAGGCACTGCCCCAATATCTGAGGTCTTTATGGAAGACTGTTTCTGTTCTGTTTTGTTTTACTGGATCTTATTCGTGGTATCTTATCTATTCTTTCTTTGTGGGTTTTTTCTCCCCTGTCAGTCACTCATTTTTCTTGGATTTTATCTGAGGCGTTCTTTGAGACTTGGACTGACACTAGGTTCCTTCAGAGAAAATCCTTATTTGTTTCTACTGGGCAGCCGAAGGGCACTACCTTCCCAGGACCAATTAGAATTCTCTGCTTGAGATTGTTTTGGATCATTCCAGAGAATATGGATTCAGTTCATAAATGTGTATGAAGTCCAATTTGTGTTATGGACCTCAGGGGAGAGAGACCTTTCTTTCCTCCCGGCCCTTGGATGTAGACAGGCTGGAGTTTGGCGGAATTCTTTTTCTTTTTTCTTTTTTTTTTTTTGAGACAGAGCCTCAAGCTATCCCCCTGGGTAGAGTGCTGTGGCATCATAGCTCACAGCAACCTCCAACTCCTGGGCTCAAACGAGTCTCCTGCCTCCACCTCCCAAGTAGCTGGGACCACAGGCGCCCGCCACAACGCCCGGCTATTTTTTGGTTGCAGCATCATTGTTCTTTTGGCAGGCCCAGCTGGATTCGAACCCGACACGTTAGGTGTATGTGGCTGGTGCCTTAGCCACTTGAGCCACAGGCGCCGAGCCAAGGAGTTCATTTCTCATTCAGTCTCTTACTGCACATGTTGTCCTCTGGGTCCAGCTTGAGGCTGTCCTCTCACCTGTGCAGTCATCAAGGCTGAAGCAGTGTCCAGGACGAAGCCAGCTTTGGCACCCCCTACATTCCAAGGAACCCTTGTACTAGTCTCACTTCATCTGGAATTTCTTCCTTTACACAGTTCCAAGAAAACTAACTTTGTTTTTAATTTTATCTAGAATTCTATTTGTTTCAGTTGGGTCTGTCCGTGTACCCACTGGGACAAAGTGGCCCAGGGATAAGTGGCCTTGCACCACTTAACCAATCCCTGCTCCTAGGTTTGAGCAACCTACATTCATTTCTCAACATCTCGTGCTTTGCGTCGGAGACCTAGATTAAAAGTATCTTACAACATTTGCGATGGGTGGGAGCTTCCAGGTCTGAGGAATTTTACTTCTCCCCAATTATTTTCAGATTGTTTTCGGAGGGAGGCAACTTTTCTCCTGAAGAGATTAACTCCCTGTGTCATCGCCTAGAGAAGGAAGCTGCTCGGATAGAGTTCGTTGAGAGCTTAATCATGCTCTATATGGAGAAGATGGAGAACGAGTACCTGGATCAGGTCAGGGAGCCCAGCCTGCCCTCCTGCCAGGCTCCAGTCCTGGCGACAGAGTGTCGCTTTGTTCAATTCCCACTGATGGGGGGGCCAAACTCCCTGTCCAGCTTCTATTTGGGTCTGTCCCCCTCCTCTTCCAAAGTCCTAGAATTCCAGTTCAAGTCCCCCTTCTTTACTCTTTATCTTTCCATACAGGCCTACGATGTCATCAACAAGTTTGAAGGTAAATTCCATAACTTGTCCGTGGACCTTATTTTCATAGAGAAAATCCAGCGGTTGCTGACCAATCTGCAGGTGAACATCAAGTGCCAGGTAGGACAGATTCTTCTTCATCCAGGGATAAGTATCACGCACAGCTGCACACCAGGTGCCACTCGGGTGCTGGGAGGCCAGTGCAGCCTCTGCCTATGGGTCTCACTGTCTAGCAGGAAAGACAGAAATTAAATCTTTATAGCCGCTGACATTCTTTCCATGTCGCCGTGCACTGTGCACCTAGCTGACCCACTTATTTTTATTAGCTGTGTTAGTCCCCATAAGAACTGTATGAGGCAAGTACTGTTTTTAATTCTCATTTTAGAAATAAAGAAAATGAGGCAGAGAGGAATTTAGTGACTTAGGAAGGAACACAAAGCTCTTAATGGGTGGAGCCAAAATGTGAACCCAAGTGTGATTGACATCAGAGATTATGACCTTGACCATGAACAGGCCACCTGTGTGACAGGAGGAGAGGAGGGCAGTGTGGGGCATGAGGGAGCAGAGAGGAGAGAGTTTAACCTGGGCTGGAAAAGTGAAGCTTCTCAGGATTGAGGGAGAAGCAGGAGACAGCCAGGCAGGAAGCAGGGGAGCAGTGTGTCCTGAGAGATGTCCAGAAACCTCCTGGGGAGAGTGTGCGAGAAGGGGAAGGGGATGGGAGTTCTGAGGCTAAAGACACTCCCATGGGCTTGTGTGCTCAGGGCTGCATTTGAGGGGGGCCCTGGCTACTGGTTGCAGAAGGGCTGGCAGTGAGTAGGAACGAGGCAGAGGTGCGAGGGTATAGCGAAAAGAGTAGAGGACTGGACCCTTGGACAAAGTGTTCAGCAGGGACACATTCTGATCCCAGAGTTGAGTGGTGGTAGGTGGGTAGGACTTAGGGAAGTGAGTCCTAGAAGTGAAGGGCCTACGTTATCAACACGGGTTAATGTAACATTCAGGAAACAGAGTTTGAGGACCCACTGGAGCCAGGACAAGCTGAACCGAGGGTGGCAAATGCATTCCAATAAAATAAGGGTCTCAGGCTCTGAGGTCCCAGTCTCCTGCCCTCATGGTCCCAGGAAGCACTTAATTCACTCTTCTGTGAAAAGGGAATCATAAAAGCAACTCATAAGATCACCTCACCAATGAATGAGTTAATGCTTGCTAAGCTTTTGACCTGGTCCCTGGTGTATAATGAATCTTCAGCAAAGACAGGTGTGATGGGATCCCCAGAAGAGCCTCTCAGGCTAGAGTTCTGGCCATTCTAGAAGTGAAGGATAGGCAGCTGCTGGGACCAAAGTCCAGGGTTCCAGGCATGTCACCTGCCCTTGTTTAACGAGCATATTCCTAATGGGCCTCCAGCTGGTGCTGCCACAGACTTCTAATATTTGGAGACAGTTCACAGTGTACAGGGGCTGAATTTTTTAATGTATGACACCTATGATAAGCAAAAGACATTTCCATCGTGGGCAATATTGAAAATATAGAACAAATACAGAAAGTAAATAATAATTCTACCACATAGTCATAACCCATTTTGATTTTTTTTAAGCTTTCTTCTACCCATAAAAAGATGGGGATTTACCAAAATTGGCCTCTTGCTATATATAATTTTATAAGCTGATGCCTTTCCTATCATGGATGAGTGGCAGTTTTTACCTAAGCATTCTTTTTTGGAGGAACATTGGGTGGATTTCACTGAAAGTATCAGTGTCATAAGAGAAATGTCCCTGCTGGGAGTGTCTCCTGAGAGCCAGAATCCTGGATCTGAGCGTGAACCTTCAAAGGCTCTTATCACTTTCTAGGTGGATTTCACAGACTTGGCACTGCACTGTTAGAGCAGGAGCCCATCTTTCTCCCAGCTCCCTCATCACACTCAGGAGTGCCAATTTTCTTTAGATATTATCTATTTGTTTGATAGGAAAAATATCTTTTAAATTAGTACTGGCCTAGTTTCTGGTAAAACTGCAACTTTTTCTTGGTTTCAGTGTGTAATCAATTTCTTAGATAATATGTTTTGCTGAAAATTTTTCCTGATCATGATATGTAGCCTAGAAAGAAAATCTCAGGACCTCTGGTTTTCTAGGTGGCAAAATCCAATTCGCAAACAGATCAATTAAATTCTTCTCTGGAACAGCTTCAGCAAAAGATAGAAATTTGTCGAGACCCAAAGAGTGATAAAACAGTAAGTGCTCAGTAGTGTCTGTATATGAATAATAAAGACGTGTCTTGCTAGAACCATGAACTTGAAATGAACTTGCATGTGCGTACAGGCTTTATCCAGCACCAGGGGTATCTCTGAGCCTTCCTGCTCAGCTCCTGTTTCACTCAAAGAAATGAAGAAAGAAAGAGGGGAGAGACCGGCTACTGTCCCCCACCCCACCGCCTCCCAGGCAGGCTTGTGTAGTCCAGTGGTGAGGGCCTGGGTCTGGCTTCCTCTGACTTCACTGTCCCTAGGATGTCACCAGGCATCCCTTGCTGAAATGAGAACAGCCCTGCCCTCTCAATGACCACTTTTGTTTGTCTTTTCACTTGTTTCTTTTGATCCTAGCACCTAAACTGATATTCTCTGTCTACACCGTGAAAAGTCAGAATTGGAGCAGAGTTTGAAAAGGTTCTAGGTGCCTGCCAGACCCTGATCTGCAGAGCAGGTCTCTGGGTGTCTTTGTGCTTGTTTTTCTGCCACAAGTGCACATCTTTGTGCCCCATTGCACATGTGGCCAGGCCACACCGAGATACCTTTTCCGTAACAGTTCAGCCAGGTGCTCCCAGAACCAGATGCCCCAGCCTCATGGTTCTGAAGTGGGAAGCTTCTTCCTCACCATTCCCTGTCTTTTCTCTTCTATTTCTGAGATGCTGAGTTATGGTTCTACTGTTACCAGTGAGAGGACATTTATTTTTCTTTACTGTTTTTTTTGCTTGTATACTATTGCATGATTTTTGAGAAAAGCTCAAACATCCACAAAGCATAGATGGCAGAATAAACGTCCTTCACGCTGCTCTCCTTGCGGACTCTAAACCCTGTTCCGTACATTCATCACGTGTTTCTCACATCCACTGAGATCACTGGCACTGCAGTGCAGAGGAAAGGCGGTTCCTGTATTTTTCCCATGACTTCCCTAGTCTTGCTTCTGAGACCACCCACTGGGGAGCAGGGGGAAAATGAGGTTTATCTTGCTGGGATGCTGCAACAGGCTTCTGAGGGCAGGCTCTGCCTCTCCTGAGCAGCAAGCAGTGGAAACATTTAGTCTCATGTTCCCTCCCCTTCCACCCACTGCGCTCTCCTGTCAGGGTGCAGAGCCACTGCCAGTGACGACTCCTGGCCCTGTGAGGGGCAGGTGAGTGTGGTTGTGCAGGCAGGCATTTCTGTGCTGCTAGAGGGGGCTGGCTTGACAGTCTGCGAGATAGTAACGCCTCGCATATGTGACCAGGGAGAAGACTCTCATGGCTGCATCCCAGCACACCTGCGGGGTGCTGCTCCAAGGGGTGGGTGCATGTTACATCTGGCCTTGGGGATAGCCAGATTGGCTTTCTGTACACTCCTGCACACCCTCACCACCTAGACCAAGTGTTTCCTTCTAAACATAGAATGTTAGAGCCAGAGGAGAGCCTAGGGAGTATTCGGTGTCCCCATCTTATAGATGGGAAGAGACTTGAGGAAGTTCAAGTCATTTGCCTGGAGCTGAACCTGTAGAACCAGGTATAGAACTTCAGATGCCCCATTCATTGAAGGGTCTGCTGCCCCAGTGTAGCCACCGAGGAGAGCCATCCCAGTGTCCCATGCCCCTGGGCCCTCCCTGCGAGTCAGGAGGCTACCTTCCCAGACCAGCCCCCGGTCCTGCCTGCTCTCCTGCAGGCTGCCTCCTCGGGACTTTCTTCTCCATGTCCTCACTAGGTGGCGCACACAGATGGACTCCTTGCCTTTGTCCGAACGTGGAAAGAAAAACTGAGCCAGAGGATTCAGTACCTCAACTGCAGCCTGGACATGGTGTCTCAAGTGGATTTTACTGTAAGGAGCAGGGGTGCTGCAGGGAGGAGGTTGAGCTGTTGTCAGGGCTTCCCAGAGACCAGCAGGGCAAACAGAGCCTAAGAGAAGAGGGGATTCCTAGGCCTCTGCTGGACATCAGGCCGGCCGAGATGCTATGGAAAGACAAAACACCAAACTGGGTCAGATCTGGATCCTTGTCCCCAGTGGGCCACTTCGCTGCACCTCCTGGTGCTACCACCAGCACCCTCGACTCACCCCATCTGTTGGCTCTCGGGCCAGCCCCACCTCTCAGGCCTTCCTACCCACCTGTACCCCGGAGCAGCCACTGGCTTCTCTCTGTGCCACCCCCACCATCTCATCCAGGCCCCCTGCCTTTTGCCCACCTGGCTGCCTAAATCTTTGCACATCCCCCATGGTCTATTCCTTGAGCCAGACCAAATGCCAGAAGTCTAACCATGTCACCCTCCGATAAAGTCCAAACCCTTTAACTGGATACATGCGGCAGCCTCCACAGCCTGTCCTACACGCCTTTTCATCCCTCTCACCCTGCCAAAGATGTCATTTTTCCAAACCCCCTGGTCTGGATTGGGGTCTCCTGGCCCACACAACGCCACTCACTTCCCATGAGCACACAGGCCACATGGGAGCTGCTGGCTCTGAGATTGTGAGCCAGAGAGAGCAGAGCCTGCATCACCCTCACCCCTGCCCATTCCTCACTCCGGGCTTTGCTCATAACGATGATGCCCACTTTCAGGGCCAGAGAGCTGATGGCTGCAGAAATGTAGCACTGCTGGGCCCTGCTCTCACCATCATGCTCTCATTGGCTCTCCTTCCTCAGAGGCCCCTGCCTACCACACACAGCACTAAGCATCCATCTGTCACTGTTCGTGTAGGTCCCTGGCAGGATGGAGGCTCTGTGGGTCCAGCCTGGACCCTTCCTCAAGGATTAGGTGACCAGATTTTAACATTGGTAAAGCAGGACACCATTGACTGGGGAGGGGTGGGGTGGGGGTGGGGCTATTGGCTGAGCTGTTTATGGTTAGGGACCCCCTAGAGAGGGGGGTGCTACTTATTTGTTCCAGACAGTTTGGCTCCTTCTGAGCTAATTGTCCTTGCCTAGAAGCGAGGGAGGGAGCCAGTCTCCTGATACCGATTCCACCTGGGCAACCTTGTTCAGGAGGGGAGTAGGGAGTTTACATTAGCCTTTTCATTTCTGTTTTTTTTTTTGGCCAGGGCTGGATTTGAACACGCCACCACCTTCGGCATATGGGGCTGGTGCCCTACTCCTTGAGCCACAGGCAATGCCCAGCCTTTTCATTTCCAAATGAAGTTACATTAACCTCTTCATTCCCAAATGGAGTTACATTGACCTTTTCAGCAGTCAAAAACCATATATTCCCTTCCCATTCTCCCACCATTCCCTAGCTTGTCATGCATTCTTTCCAAAAATCAAGACTTCTTTAAAACACCGTGGGACGCGGGACAAATTGTTAAAAATCGGGACTGTCCCGCCAAAAGTGGGACGTCTGGTCACCTTACTCAAGGGGCTCATGGGCTATTGCTGAAGGGAGACAAGAATGAAACAGGGAACGGCTTAATGAAGCTCTTACTGTGGCCACAAATTCCGTCCTTTCTCTAAGGTCCCCCTAGTGGAGAGTTGGCCACTTGCTTAGCCTGACACTCAATCATTCCCTTGTCCTTTTGGTTAAAAATGCCACCTGGGCACATCTGCAGGCCAACCTCACAGAAAAGATGCTGGAACTTTGCCTTCATAGCATTTGTCCAAATTTTGAGCAAATATTTGTTGGCCTAAATGCAAGTTAAATGCCTCTCTCTTCTGATGAGATTGCAGGCTCTGTGAGGGCAGGAATTATAGGTGGCCTTTTGGCCCATGATCCCAGAACACAAGCAGAGAAATGTTTTTCTGGGAACTCAGAAAACTCAGGAAATGTTTTTAAAGGCATGAATGAACAGAGAAATGAACGAACAACCATCTAAGGGAGACATGACCTCTACCACCTAACAGAAGACAACATAGAGGCTCAAGGAGGTTGGCCACTTTGCCTCCAGCCACAACACTTAACTGAGATGGTGCTGGAGAGTCAATCCAGCCTGATGCCTCCTCCACACCTGGCCTGGTCCCCACATGCTCAGCCCTTCTCTCTGGCCTGCAGGACCCCATCTTAACTGACATGGAGGAGGAGAGTGACATCATGGTATATTCAGAAGCACAAGAAGAGGAAGGCAAGGTGGACCTGGTCACCCCTGAGTCCTTTGCCCAGCCAACCCGCCTAGGGAAGCCCATGACTGAAGACCCAGTTGTGGAGGTGATCAAGAAGATCCTGCAGTGAGTGGCCCTGGGATGCACACTGGGGCCCTGCCACAATGACCCCATGGTCTTGAGCCTTTAGGGACCAGCTTGGGGGCCCCACACACAAGGGTTTCCTTTGCCTACTCAGAGCCTCAGTTCATGGCCTGAAATGGGACCCATGATGAGACTCCCATGGTGTTAAGGGTTAATTGGGTGCTGCCCCAAGCCTGGAACTAAGCTGGCTTCATGGTCACTGTGGAAAAGTTCACATTCTTTCCTTTGATTTTAGACATCCCAACTCAAAATGGACAACCCAGAACAGTGACAAAGATCGGGGCCAGACAGGTAGAGGCATGCAGGCCTGAGGCTGGGGGCAGCAGTGGGGAAGCCAGTGCTGTGTGGCCCATCCTCCCTTCCTATCTTCACTCTCATCCTGGTTCTTGTTACACAAAGGCCTGAAGCGTCATCGGGGTCGGCCGGACAGCTCTGGGAGGAAGGCCCTGCCCAGTGGCAGCACCACTTCTGCAATTAGGTAGGACACAGGGCTTCCTGGGACCCCTTCCCAACTTCAGCCTGTCCTCCCAAACAAAGGCAGGTACAACCCGATGGCTTTCCCAGACTGTCTCATGGGCTCACACTAATGCTGTCCTTTGTTAGGTCTGAGGTTGTCCTACAGAGGGACAAGGCTCCCACAAGCCTATCTCCTGAAGAACAGGTCCTTGCCTCCAGCCACACCACTTAAATGAGATGGTGCTGGAGTGTGTATCCAGCCTGATGCCTCCTCCACACCTGGCCTGGTCCCCATATGCTCAGGGAATTTGGACCCATTTTGGTGTCTCTCAGCCCTGCCACTTCCCCCACACATGGTCATGGTTAGAAAAAGGGACAGTGGGAGCCATGGAGCAGATGGCTTTCCTGGGGTGATGTCACAGAGCCACAGAAGGAAGTCCTGGGCCTTGGTGCTCTGCCCACTAAGGCTCATCAGGATGGTTAGACTCAAGGCTCAGACTGCCAGCCCCTGCGTATAGAAGTCACATGACAGAGCAGACTTTCTGGATCTTCATGTCAACCTGATTGACATGGTTTAATTCCTGGTTTTGAGAAAATAAGGGGAATCCCTGCTCTGCCTTTACCTCCCGAAGGTCTTTTGGAGCACACAGCCCAGGTGCAATGTGGAAAGAAGCAAAGGCCAACCAAGTGAGAAGAGCAAAGGCTATGGCAGGGAGTAGGCCACCATCAAGGGCTTTCAGCAGAGTCTCAAGGGCAGGCAGAGGATGGGAAGCATTCCCCTTCCTCTCTGGGTGTGCTCTGGCTGGCCGCTGCTGGCACGGGGAGCTGGAGCTGCAGGGCATCCTATGCAGTGGGTTAGATGGGTATATTTGACTTTCTCTGGTTGGTCCCAAGTTGGAAATGAAGATAAAACTTAGGAAAGCTGTCATTTATTTGTCGGGGTCATGGTGCACAGACCCTGACCTGGTTGGGTGCTGACAGAGAAAACGCCAAGGAAATCAGGATACTTTGCACAAACTTAAGATAGAGTGTGAGAGTGTCTGGAGAAAGGCCTACATTATCTCATGCCAAGTGGTGGACTGGGACAAGGCAGCAATTTTCTGGCTTCTTCAGAAGGCTTTTATTGATTTCTAACAAAAGCATATAAGCAGCTCGGCACCCATAGTACAATGGTTACAACACCAGCCACATACACGGAAGGTGGTGGCTTCGAGCCCGGCCTGGGCTCGCTAGGCAGCAATGACAACTGCAACAAAAAATAGCCGGGTGTTGTGGCCGGCATCTATAGTCCCAGCTACTTGGGAGGCTGAGGCAAGAGAATTGCTTAAGCCCAAGAGTTGGAGGTTGCTGTGAGCTGTGATACCACAGCACTCTACCAGGGGCAACATAGTAAGACTCTATTTGAACAACAACAACAAAATCCACACATAAGCAAAATGCAAAAATGCCAAAAGGTAGGGTTAAAAGAATCCCTCGTCCCTAGGAAGATTGGCTAGAGAGAGAGGCTGGGTAAAGTGGTAGGGGTTGCTAACCAATGGGTTAGAAAGGGGGAGGGGAAAGTCACTTTTATCCCTGCAGAGAAAGGAAGCCAGCTTCCCTAATCTAAATGCAGATTGGGAATGTAAGGACTTAGCTGTGTTTCAGTCCTATCCTGCCTGTTCACTCTCACAGCACAGGGATAGTCCATGCTGTTCTGTCATCTCTGGGCTCTTTACATCTTCCATGGTCTTGATGAGCCCCCAGGGATCCATGTCTGCAGGCTTTCCCCTGGAGACCCCTGGATTGAGGCAGGGCACCCCACTGAGAAATCAACCTGTCTACCTCCCACAATTTATTAATCAAATCCTGGTGCCTGTTGTTATAGGAGATGTGGTTTAGCTTCCTGGATGGTTACTAGAGATAACAGTTTGGCTCCCTGCAACTCTGACTTACAGCAGGCTGACTTCCTGGGCTGCTTGTGGTAGATAAGGGATGGTCTCCTCAGTAGGCTGCTGCAGGTTGTGGGCCAGAGATCCATTTTGTATATATAATCCAGATACCATCTGTTTCTATATTCAGTCTCTCAAGAGGTGATGACATGAAGTCCACTTCACTAGAGTTGCCAGATAAAGAGAGGGTACCAGAGAGGATGCCCAGCTAAATGGGACACAGCTAATTTGTTAGCATAAGTATGTCCCAATAGAGCATGAGACATACTTATACTAAAAATTACTCTTTGCTTATATGAAATTCAAGTTTAAATGGGGGTATGATGTAATTTGATAAATCTTGCAACCCTACATGTAGGTCAATACCTTTTTCTTTTTGGTCCTCACACCAGGGAAGCAAGGATATAAATTTCTAGGCCCAAACACCCCTTGCCTTCTCTCAGCAGCCATGGTTGGGTTTCAGTGGTAAGGGTTTCACCCCATGATGAGATTGTCTTCATAGCTGTTGAGGAGTAGGAAGTTAATCTTGAAGGGCTCAGACCCAGAAATGGGAGTTAATTTGCCTACACACAGACCCAGCACCTCTAGCAACCGAGGCAAGGCTCCCGTGGGTTCAGACCTGTCTCCTGTCTGTCCTCAGCCTCCGGAGCACAGAGCCACCTTTGTCCCACAGCCTCACAAGGCACTGCAAGCCCAACAGATTGGACAAAAAGTACCAGGTGCTTGGGGATAAACCGCCACAACCAGGGGAGTAAGTAATAACGTCTTTTCCTTTAACGGCAGTTAACCTGTTATAGTCAGGGATGGCCAAATCTGACCAGCCGAGGGGATAAAGAGAAAGATAAGAAAGGGTATGGGGAGGCCCAACTTCAGTTTGAGTCAGAGCCAACTGCACCCAAATTTGTTCAGAGATTTTTTCACAGAATGTCACATTTTCTAAGTTAAGCATTTCGCGGTGGCAGGGCAGCAGACCCCTTTGAGGTTTTGGTTTCATGTCATTTTTTTCAATGCCCCCCCCCTTCTCTTTTCCTTTATTGTAATTTCAGTGATTAAAACAAGATCTGGTCCACTTGCTATGGCTTCATTTCAATCAAACAAGTAAAATTTCAAGTGCAGCCCTTTCACCTGGGGGGCTCTCTTCTTTGGGGGCTGGGGACCCCCACAATGCAGAGAAGAGTAGTTGTTATGTCAGGCAGCCCAGGTGTCACACACAAGCCAATGGCTGGACATTCCCTTGTCCACACACCAAGACATTTCAGCACCATCGACAACTCCTTTATTTTTAATACTTCGATGCAGGAGGATGTTCGGTCCTACCCTAAGTTCTGTTTGTCTAATTACTATTTATAAGTAATCATTCTTTATTCTTTTAACCAATACTGAAGCACTGACAGGGACAGGTATTGCCCTGGGGCTAGGGATTCCACAGTGAACAAGAACAGACACACCCAGTCCATGCCCTATGCTACAAGACAAAGACAAGCACATTCAAATCTTCATGATCACAAGAATGGAAAAGCAAGTATCCAATGTGCACAGTACTAATATGAAACCAATAGAAAAACAACTACATCCCCACCTGAGAGAAAAACACAAGGGGATTCAATGGGAGGAGGGAAAAGGGAGGAGAGAGGGAGATTGGTAAACTCTCACCTGATGTGATCAATGTTAGGGTATATAGCACACCTCCTTGGTGAAGGGCTCAACTACAACTTGAACTTCGCCTTAGAAACACAAACAATGTAACCTAGTCATCTCTACCCTCATATTAATCTGAATAAAATAAAATAAAATAAAATCTTAATGAGTTCATTTGAGCAGACAATTCATGAACCAGGCAGGGCCAGACCCCAAACAATTCAAGGGCTCCACCAAGGCAAAAGTGGAAAAACTTTTATGAGGTGTTCACAGAAGTAAGACCAAGAAAATATTTGCTTAGCTAAGTGGAAAGTCCCTAGTTGGCTATTTCTCATTGGCTATGCTTAGGTTTCATTTTCCTACACTATAGCCATTCACTCTGAGTTGGGTTTGGGTTTGTTTATGAAGAACCTCCAAACAGTGGAGCTGTTTCAGCATAATGGCCTCCTATTTAATATTTTAAACATCTCCTGGACTTTATAGTTTGCTAGGAGAGAGAGAAGCCAGTCACACAAATCCATCCCAAATCCCAATTAGAGTCTAGTGGGGCTGAGGGAAACCCTGACAGCATCAGAACCAGAAGGTGAGAAACTGGTGCTGAGCTAGGATCTCAGGAAGCGCAGGAACAAAAGCCACCAAGAAGAAAGTAGCTTTTATGGAGAGGAATCAGAGTGTGCAAAGGTCCCGGGGCAGTAATTATAAGGAGTGACAGGCCAAAACAAAGCACTCAGAAAGTTCTGTTCATTTGGTTTTGTCCACGTTGGCATGTCAAAACGTGGGAATCTGCCCTCCAGGATCTGCCTTGTATGTGTTACAGGAATTTTAAAGCAATCATCATGACCCTCCTCTGGGAGAGCAATGAGCACCTACTGGCCATCGCGGAGGTGAGGACCTCTGCCCACAGGCCCAGCTGCCTTCTGCCTTCTGCAGTCTCCAGGTCAAGGCCACTTGAGGAAAGATAAGGAAGAGAGGACCCCACTCCCCATGACCACAGCTTCCCAGCTTCTGTCATCCTGTAGTGTTTTTTCCTCCTAGAAACTAAATCTCACTTATTCAGCATTCATTCATTATTCATTTAATTAGTCCCTGAGAATTTCTCAAACACTCACTACATGTATAAGGAACTGGGTATCCCAAGAAAAACAAGCCCAGTCTCTGTCCCTGACGTTCCCAGCACCCAGCCAGAGGTCAACAGATGTGATAGGACATAGGGAGGGTGGGGCTGTGGGAGTGGGCATCTCCCAGAGGAGTGCCCATGCCCCATCCCTGCCTGCCCTGCACAGTGGTGCTGGTAGAGTCACCTGCTGACCTCCCATGGGGCTGTCTGCCTTCTGCAGGGCAGGGCATCTGGCTCATCCATCTCTGGGGCCCACAGCCGGTACTCAGCTTGGTGCTTCCAAACACACTCCCAATCTTGTCACTGATTTGGGATTCCATTGATTTGACTCTTGAAGGATAAATAGGATTTTAGCATTCACTCACTTGAGAAATAACAAGGGTTGGCCGTGGCTTATGGAGAGAGGTGACAAGGGCAGCTGAGGAGGAAGAGCATCCCTGGCATAGGAGATATGGAAATAAGGGAGGGCTGGTGGATCCCAGGAGCAAGGGTCAGAGTCCCACTTGGGGTCCTTGCCCACACACCCTCTCTCACTCTCTGGCAGGAATTTTACCGCAAAGAGAAACACCCAGTAACCAGACCTGAGTACATGTGTGAAACCTTTGACCAGTGCGCTGACAGCATCTGCAAGAAGATCCTGGAGTATCAGAGCCAGGCCGAGGAGTACCACAACTCCTGCCTCCTAGGTGTGTGCGGGAAGCTGGCATCGGGGGTGGTGAGTGGGGTGTTGGAGCTCGGCCTTGGGCTTGTGGCCTGGATCCCGCTCTCCTGATTCAGATGTCACTGGGGAGACAGAGGAGCCTCCCTGTGAAGAGCTGACATCTTCGATTGGGTAAAAACAATGATCAAGTTTAACTGGAGAAAAACAACAATGCAAAAAAAAAAAGTTCACATTTCTTAAGAAATGTGATTTGTACCTTTAGAGGTATATTTTATTCCTTCTACAGATGTTTTTTACAGCTTTATTGAGATATCTGCATGCCTCACAATTCACGTATGTAGTGTACAATTCAATGGTTCTTGGTTTATTTAGAGTTGTGCAATCACCACCACCATCAGTTTGAGAAACCTCATCTTCCCATCCCCTCCCCAGCCCTAAGCCGCCATTAATCTGCATTCTGTCTCTAGTGTTTTCACATGAATTTAATCTTATAGTATATGGTCTTTTGTGACTGGCTTCTTTCATGTTGCATAATGTTCTCACGGTTTATGCAAAATTATTAATTGCTATGCATGCATTGACCTTATTTCTCTTTATCACCAAATAATATTTTATTGTATGGATCTACCACATTTTGCTGTGGTCTGCTGTGCTGTTTCAGAGGCCATCTGGTAGAAGTAGGAGAGATTAGGGGACAGTGTTATAACCCACTGCAGGTTCATTGCTCACTGCTCAAGAGAAAAACAATACACTAAGACAGCAGGTGTTACAGGGAAGAGAGACCTTAATATCTCAGGCTGCATTTGAGCAGACAGAAGGAAGTTCTCAAATACATCTCTCTGAGGATTTGAGAGAAAGGTTTTTAAGGATACTTGGTGGGCAAAGGGCTAGGTAATTGAGTCTGTTGATTGTCTGGGTTCAGGGTAGAACCATTAAGGTGAAGAAATTGTCTTCTCATTCATGGGTTAGAGTTATAAGACCAGTTGAGTTAGTTCCTTGGCATGGGCCACTGGTCTGGGTGGGTCAGCCAGTCTACCAGAATGTAGGGCCTAAAATATATCTCAAAATTAGTCCTAGATTACACAAAGGTGATGTTATCTATGGGAGCAATGAAGAAAGCTGAGAATCTTTTTGATCATCAGCCATATGACTCCTGAGCAGTAAACAATTACAGGAAAGGAAGCTAGGGAACAATAGCTGGTTATACATATATTTTAACCACGCCTATTTCTTTACAGAGTTGAGGCACCTACCACAGTTCCCACTTTGTCATCCTTTATTAATTTGATAAAAGGCAGTTTCCATAGCAGACCTGGGACCTGGACCCAGTACTGCCATCCCCCAGATGTATGATCTTGGCTGCAGGATTTTACCTCCTTAGCCTTAGTTTCCTTGCCTGTATCCAGGAGATAATAATACTGATCGTGGGATGCTTTTCTGAGGAGTAAATTTCTTGCACAGACTTGGCACGTATAGGGAATAATCAGCAATAGCTTTCATTGCTATGGTAGTTGAATGACTGGAATTGAAACTACAGACAGTATTTCATTTCTCTAGTTCAGAATTCCCCCAAGTGAGCTCTGTGGGATCCCATCCTATATGATCATCCTCAAAGATTCCATGGTCAGATGGGTTTAGAAAATACTGCATACTGTGTCCCTCTGGTTGATTCACATTTCATTTTTCAGACTTCCATTTCCTACAGTTTGGTAGGATGGTATCCTAACCAACTCTCCCCTAGAAGACATGTAAAACACTGTATAAAATATTTTTGTGATAAAATTTTTTAAATGCAGTAATGAGCTATCTGTAAAGTAAGAAACTTGCAAAAACCAAAAAAATAAGTGAAAATAGAAATTCTGAATGATAACTTGAGTTTGAGCACTAATCCTGGTTATTGTCCTAAGGATATTTGCTGACTTTCAGGTGAACTTGGGTCTCCATTTTCACAGTCTCCAGGGCATTGGGAATAGGAGACAAATCCACTGACCACCCAAGGTGGGAAGTCTAAAAGGAGACAAGCCACCTATAGCTGGAACTTCCCAGGGCTCCACCTGCAGAATAAAGTGAATGAGACAGAAGAAGGAAACTGTCTGATTAAAAACGTTGGTGCTGAGTGAAAGAAAAGAACAAAAACAAAAAACAAAAAAAACCTCCAGTGAGAATCCAGAACTCTAAGCCAGCCCTTATGTGATTTCTTTTTTATTTCCCGCATTTTTAATTGCTGCCTTATGTGGTTTCTAAACCTGAATTCACATATTATCTAAATATGAATTCAAATTTGTTTTAGTAGAACATTGGAGCTTAACCTGATACCTTAGTTTAAAGTGATCTTGTGTTAGTAGTGTCCAAAAGCTTGCTTGTTAGAGACACTACAAATTGTCTCTAGAAAAACCCACCTTGAACTCAGGCCTCAAGGGATTCCCACTGATAAAATGACCAGAATAAGAGCTCACAGTATTAAACAAATAGCAACAATAATAGCACACACTCACACACACACACACACACACACACACACACCAAGCACAAGGATACAATACACCTTGAGCAAGGAGCCACAAAAGGAGACCAGTGGCTCAGTGGCTCACACCAGTGTTCCTAGCACTCTGGGAGGCCAAGTGGGGAAGGACCACTTGAGATCAGGAGCTTGAGACCAACATGAGCAAGAGTGACATCTTGCTCTCTACTCTGTCTCTACTAAACACAAAAAAATTAGCCAGACATAATGGCAGGCATCTGTAGTCCCAGCTACTTGGGAGGTTGAGGCAGGGGAAGATCACTTGAACCCAGGAGTTTGAAGTTGCTGTGAGCTAGGATGACACCATGGCACTCTAGCCTGGGCAATAGTGAGACTCTGTCTCAAAAAAAGGAATGAAATTAGTGAAGACTTCAAATATTAAAAGTATCAAACACAGGCAAGATGGCGGCCGAGTAATAGCTTCCTTGCAACTTGGCATGGTGAATCCAGGGAGAGAAGACTCCAGGCATCTCTGGCTGGTGGGATCTGCCCAGAAACATCCCTTTGGAGACACAGGGAGTCAGTGAGGGACTTCTGGACCCCATAAGGAAGACAAAAGCAGTGGAGAACTGGCAAGGGTTTGTGTGTGTTCATTCGGTCTAATCCCTCTGACAGCTGTAAATTCAGCAGCAGTGAGATTGCAAACTGGAAAGGCCTTACCTGTGAGCTGTTTGGGGTTTTTTTGGACTTGGCACTCAGTTGAACTACCTTGGGAGAACTTGGGCAAGAGAGCGGAGGACTTTAAGCATTGTCTAGGGCCCCAGACTGAGCCACTGAGTCCAACAGAGCTAACAGTGTTTGTCTGTGGGCCCTGCGGAGCCATTGTGGGAGAACTGCCCCATAAAGCTCTGCCCTCAGGGTCACAAAGCCAGGATCCAGCCGAAGGGAGTAATCTAGTGACTGAGCAGCCTAAAGGCGAGGACTCAGATGCTTTACTGCCGTGGCCCTCAGGGGCACAGTGTGAGATCGGTTTTGGTACACTGGGTAAGTGGATAGCCACTTCAGGAGTGATCCCAGTGACAAACGCTTTCCCTGGAAAGCTTCTGTTTAGCCCGGGTTCACAGTTTAAAGTGCCTTTTAAGCAGGCTGAGGAGAGATTTAGGCTCTCCACATTGTGGGGTTTGAGAAATCAGCAGAGGCCTCCAGTCTCCATCTCGTACAGCTGTATCAGCATGGTGATTAACATCTCATACCCCAGAACATCACCTGTTGCCCAGACAGTATTCAGCAAGATATATATACTGCTTTGCTTTTTGTTTATTTTTTGTTTGTTTTTTAATTTCAACATTTTCCCTACAGATTTTTCTTTTCTTTTTTTTATTTTTCTAGTTTAAATATAATTTTCCATTGTTGCCTTTTTAAATAATTAGAATGTCGTTTCTGCTAGTGTTTCTACCCCTATTATTTGGTTTTTTGCCCAATTTTATCCCATAAAGTTTTCTGTTTGCTTGTTTTGGTTTGATTTATAGCATTTTTGTCCTTCTTCTCTACTTGGTGGAGGTGGGGTGCTATGTCCAAACAGGCTAGCAAAGAGCTGCTGACCTCAAGGGAACCACCCAACCCAGCACCCCCAGAGGTTGGGGATTTTTAAGGTTGGGTCAAAGTAGACTACTGTACACCTATATTGCTCCTGTCTCCCTCTTTCCGTGCCTCTCTTCTTTTTGTTAATATTCCCTTTTACCCACTCACTCTCCTTTCTCTATTTTCTTTCCTTTTTTTTTTTCTTTCTTTTTTTCTCTTCCTGCCCTTCAATCTTCATCCTTCTGGTCCTGTACCAAAAGGACAAAAGGACTCATGGAAACCCTTTTGTCAGAGGCACGGTAATTTCAAAGGCAAGAGGAAGTGAAAGGAAAATTAGGGCAAGGAAGCAGATAAATCACTCATGAGGAAGAACCAGCAGAAAAATCCTGGCAACATGAAAAACCAGTCCAGAGCAACCCCTGTCCCCCACCAAGGGACCATGAGGTAGCTACTGCAGAGGATTCCACCTATAAAGAACTGTTAGAAATGACAGAAAGGGAATTTAGAATACAGATGATGAAAACAATGAAGGAAACTACCGATAAAGTGGGAAATAACCAAAGGAAATCCAAAAACAGAATCAAATAAGAGATGAACAATATGAAGAATATAGAAAGAATATAGCAGAGCTGAAGGAACTGAAGCAGTCAATTAAGGAACTTAAAGATGCAATAGAAAGTATCAACAACAGATTCGACCATGCAGAAGGAAGAATCTCAGAGGTAGAGGACAAAGCTCTTGAGATATCTCAGATAGTTAAAGAGACAGAAAAGAAGAGAGAGAAAGCAGAACGTTCACTGACAGAATTACCGGACTTTATGAAGTGTTCAAACATATGAGTTATAGGTATCCCAGAAGGCGAAGAAGAATGCCATGGGGGAATGGAAGCCATACTTGAGAATATTATAAATGAAAATTTCCCTAATATCACCGAAGATTCTGACACACTCCTTTCAGAGGGATATTGGACCCCAGGTCGCCTC